TTCCTTCTCTTCTCTTCTCTTCTCTTCTCTTCTCTTCTCTTCTCTTCTCTTCTCTTCTCTTCTCTTCTCTTCTCTTCTCTTCTCTTCCAATATTATTCCATTCCACTCTGCTCTACTTCTGCTCTATTCACCATTCTATTTGTTATTCCATTCTACTCCCATCCCTATTGTCTTCTTTCACTCCTGCAGGAAGAGAGTTAGAATAATTATTCAGCCAATAACCCCCCATCTTCTGTTACCAGGTGAAAGTGAACTTCCAAGGGGACGTCATTGATCGCGGGAGCACTAACTTGGGGATCAACCCGGCTGGCTTCACCTTGCACTCAGCCATCTACGCCGCCCGCCCGGATGTCAAGTGCATTGTTCACATCCACACTCCTGCAGGAGCAGCGGTAAGAGAGTTCTCCGCCTCCCCTGCACAGCTCGGAAATAGCGAAGCGCCTTCATGACAAGCCACGTAGTGCAGGTCTTCCTCATCTGAATAGCTGTTCATTTAGTGGCCATTTGAAAAAAAAAACACGACCATTTTTCACACTTTTATGACCACGGCGACACCCCCATGCTCACCTGGTTTGCATTTGACAGCTGACTCACATTTGTGTCCGTTGCAGTGTCCCGATTACCCTTTTTTGCGACCTCCTCACAAGCAAAGTCAATGGGGAAACCAGTTTTGCTCAACAACCCTGTTAATTTAACAAGTGCAGTGATTCATTTAACAGATGCAGCAAAACTCGTAAGAAGGGGCAAAACTCACTTAACGAATGTCTCCTTTTGGGGCTCAGTTGTGTTCGTAAGCTGAGGACTACCAGTAGTAACAAAGGAGACATGCTGCCTTCATAGGACAGGGGTGGACAGCTATGACAATTCTATGACCTGTGGACTTTAAATCCCAGAATGCCTCGGGGATTCTGGGAATTGACGTCCACAGGTTGTCATAGTTCTCCACCCCTGGTTTAGGAGTTTCTAAAAATCCAGATCTGCTGCACGAAAAAGAACCATGTCTTCCATTCATCTACGGTTTGAAGTTGGATGCTCCCAGCAGAGTGAAGCAATTTTCTGGGCTGAGCCCACAAGCCACAAGTTTTCCATACTTCAGTAGATTACAGATTTCCATAATATACTTCAATACCGCATTCCCAACTTTACTCTTTTTTTCCAATTGTCTTTTTAACGCTTTGGTAAATATTAAATGGGTCCAATATTAAGGAAGCCAAAAACATATAAGCTTGTTCCTCTGAAATAAACATTTCCAACATAGACAGGTTGAAAGGTTTTTTTTTGCTACACAGCATCTAGCGTGTCCAGTAAAACAGTCACTTGTTGAATTAATGCTTTCTTGAAATCATGGAATAATAAGTAGGTCTGTATTAGTATTATCCTTTTCTTATTTCCTATAGCATGTTATGACTATCACTTTGTTGCTTGCATCTTATGTTTTATGTTGATTGCTTTATTTAATAACTATCATTTAATGTATCTTATGATTTATGATTGTATTTTATGATTATGATTGTGAATTATCACTTGTTGCTTGAATGTACACTGAGAGCTTACGCAGCAGAGACAAATTCTAAATTCCTTGTGTGTCCAATCACACTTGGCCAATAAAGAATTCTCTTCTGTTGTACTTGATTTTACTCTACTCTATTCTCTATTCCATTCTTCATTATTCTATTCTAATCCTTCATTCCATTATTTTCCTCTCCTTTCCTTTCCTCTCCCCTCCTCTCCACTTCCCTTCTTCATTCTTCTCCTCTCCTTTCCTCTTCCCTTCCCTTCTTCATTCTTCTCTCACCTCCCTTTCCCTTCCCTTCCCTTCTTCATTCTCCCCTCCCCTTCTACATTCCTCTCCCCTCCCCTCCCCTCCCCTTCTTCATTCCTCTCCTCTATATTCTAACCTAATTCCTCATTCTGTTCTGTTCTGTTCCACTCTATTCCATCCTTATCCCTATCTTGTCTATCAGTATTTTTCAAAATGGCTGCTCTCAGTTGCGTGCCTTGGTTTTACTTTCCTGTTAGTTTTTGAGGACTTGCTTTGTTCTCAGAAATGAGTTTTAGAGATGCCTTTTCCAGATGAGGGAATTGTGTCGTCGTTCCCCCCCCCCCATCCAAAGTTGTCTTTCCTTTGAGAACAGACATTTGTAGGTAAGAGGACAACCAATTCATATACTGCTGTCAGTAAAATCCACAATAACATTCTCAGGTATCTGCGATGAAACGTGGCCTCTTGCCCATCTCACCAGAGGCACTGTCTCTCGGGGAAGTGGCCTACCACGATTACCACGGCATTCTTGTGAACGAGGAGGAGAAGGCCCTGATTCAAAAGAATCTGGGCCCCAAAAGTAAAGTGAGTATCTAGACCATCCCATTTACAAAGAGCTGGCAGAAAAGGTCGACTTTGTCTGACTCAGAGCATCTTTATTTCTCTCCTTGGCTGCTCCAGGTCCTCATCCTCCGAAATCACGGCTTGGTATCCGTTGGCGAAAGCGTGGAGGAGGCTTTCTATTATATTCACAATTTGGTTGTTGCATGTGAGATCCAAGTAAGCAATGTTATTTTCTTGATTTATCTACTTCAAGTTGGTTTTGGGGATACTGCGTAACCCAAAGCAGCTGAATTAAAAGCATGCGTATGGAAAAGGCATATCGAAAGCATCAAAATCCCGACCGACGAGCCCAACCAAAGTAAGCACGGCCGAGATGATCCGATCTCGGAATGCAGAACTTTATTGAGTACATCATTTCGGCACCTATGATGGCAAAACCGGATCTGACTGTTCCTTGTGCAAACCCACATAGTCAAAGTTCAGGTTCTCCCTCCCTCCAATTTGATCAGGTCACATTGTCCAATGGAGTCTCCTGGTGTTGTTGTGAGAAAGTCTGTTGGCTCTTGATAACCACCTGCCCAAACGTCCTTGGTTCTCATTCCTGGCATCTCGAAGTCTGGAACCTACGTTCTATCTCCCCCTTTCCTCCCCCCAATAGTTTGCTGGTAATCTGAGAAGCAATAATAGTTGCAACAGCCAAAAGCGGCTTTTGAAGCTTAACAGGAAGATTTCCATATTTGGGGGGGGGGGGGGGGCGTTGGTTTAATTAAAGAGATAAATCCTACTAGAGTGGGTTGTAACGTGGCATGTAACCCAAGATTAGGCTGTACGGCTGGCGCTTTGATTTATGTCTCCTCATTACTATTTGCTGCTCACTTTTTGCAGGTACGAACCCTGGCCAGTGCAGGGGGGGCAGACAATTTGATCCTGCTGGATCCCAGCAAATACAAATCCAGGCCTCACTGCCACGAGTCTGCCACGGGGGAAGGGACAGTGCCTCACCCCAAATGGCAGACGGGAGAACAAGAATTTGAAGCCCTCATGCGAATGCTTGACAATTTGGTAAGCCAAACGTCCTGCTGCTACCTATAGAGTCCGTTTAGGTGAGATGGGTAGCTGTACAAATATGATAGAGGATGGACAGACGGACGTCTCAATATCACGAAGCTCTTGTGGCTGACACCCTCAACGTTTTGTTCTTAAGGAGGAGTCCGTCCTCCCCGTCCCCCCCTGTGGATTTGATTCTGCTACTCATTGCTAACTGCAGGGGGCGCTGCTCATCTCTGTTTCAAGGCCATTGAGCCAGCACTGTCCAAAGACATTTCCGTGGTCATGTGGCCAGCATGATATCATGGAGAGCTGTTCCCTTCCCACCAAAGTGGTACCTATTTATGTACTTGCATTTGAATCCTTTCAACTGCTACATTGGCAGGAGCTAGAGCAAGTAGTGGGAAGCTCACTCCGTCACGTGGCACTCGGGTCTCGAACTTGGGCTGACAGCTTTCCAGCTGACAAACCCAGTGTCTTAATCCCTGAGCCGCTGTGCTGCCCTTAAAGGAAAATGCAGTGGAGAGTGAAACACAGCATTCAAAGCTTGGTCAATCATCGCAGCGCCAGAGGAATCTTTCAGCAACACTTAATGTTCATTTTCTCGCAACAGAAGATAGTTATCTGTAGCCTCAGGGTTGAATTTGTGGCTCAGGGTTGAACGTTTCATTATCCAGCGAGTTGGGTAATGAAAGGGCAGCAAACAAATAGCCAAGCCCAAAGAGCGCCCAGGAACTCACAATTCATTTTCTTTATAATAATATTCGCAGAGTTTACTTCCACCTTCAGGGCAGCGTCCTTCACTCCTGGTTTACACAGTTTGTTCACAAGAAAGTAGGACCACAAGGGAAGGCTGAGATAGGTATCTGTGATGGCCTTGGCTGCCACTTATTGAAATGACCAATTCCAAACTTAACCCTTTTTAGGATAAGATGAGTATGCAGATGGGCCAAATGGCTCTGTTTACGAGCGCAGTGGTTAGAATGCGGTATTGCAGGCTTATTCTGCTGGCTGCTGGCAGTTCGATCCTGACCAGCTCAAGGTTGACTCAGCTTTCCATCCTTCCGAGGTGGGTCAAATGATTGTTGGGGGCAAGAGGCTGACTCTGTAAAACCGCTTAGAGAGGGCTGTAAAACCACTGTGAATACATCTTAAGTGCTATTGCTAGTGTATTCCTTCCTTCCTTCCTTCCTTCCTTCCTTCCTTCCTTCCTTCCTTCCACCCACCCACCCACCCACCCACCCACCCACCCACTGTGGTTAGAATGCAGTATTTCAGGCTAACTCTGTCCACAACCAGGAGTTCGATCCTGACTGGAGACATCTATCCTTCTGAGGTGGGTAAAATGAGGACCCAGATTGCCCACATCTCGGGGGGCACACACTCTGTAAACCATTTAGAGAGGGCTGTAAAGCACTGTGAAGCAGTATATAAGTCTAAATGCTACTGCTAGTCTGTCCGTCCTTCCTTCTTTCCTTCCTTCCCTCCCTCCC